CGAGCACCGTCGGGGAAGGAAACTAGGTTCCAAGAACCTGCGGAGCGTAAGGGGAGCTACAGGGAGAAGCTCATCGCAGCCGGACAACGGATTTCAGCAGTCAAATTATCCGTTTCAACGGCCAGACAGCATTGCGGACGTAGGTCCTGAGTCCGCAGAAAGTTCACGTCGGCCTTTCAGCAGGATATTGGACGAGGGAGCGTATAATTCTGGGCGGCCAAGCTCAGCAGCAGGTGGACGGTTCACCCAGCCACTCATCGAGAATCTCGACCCGGCGTTCGGGCGAAACACAACACAGGGACACGGCTTCCAAGAACAGTCTCCTCTGGCTTTACTTGCGAAAACAGCAGAGGCCAGGAGTCAAGGTGAGTCCTGCAATGCTTCTTTGTCTGACGTTTAGGGGCGAAATTGCTGACATTACTGTTGCTGTTCTTGATACAGGCGATACATTCCTTTCGCGTCCAAGCACTGGTAGAATTACCGAACAGGCCCAGTCGTCACGTTTGGCCTCTAAGTGGTCCTCCCGCAACAGATATGCCAGTAAGCTGGATGTAGATGCTCAGCTGGATCCTGTCAATATGGGAATGTTGAGCATTCAGACAGCAGAGAAGCTGTTCGATCTGTTAGTACTTTTTTCCCTCCTCGCGTGTCGGCCGTACTGACTAGTCTGCTTAATCGCCAAACATCTTCAGCTTTTGGTCAAAATTGGCGAACTATGCCGCATTCCTTGACTATCGGATCCACACGCTATATCATGTTCGGCGAAGCTCGACACTGTTGACATGCGTCATTCTACAAACGGCAGCGAGGCATACACCAATACAGGCTGTGCCGGATGCGCCGAGACTATCTATCGCCTTGGACAGACATATCAACAGTATTTTATGGCCCCGGATTTTGATCGGAAACAACAAGAGCGTAGAAATCTGTCAAGCATGTATGCTGTGGGCTACCTTTCTCGCGGAACCCAAACCAGGAGAGGAGGACCTCGGGTGGTCTCTCTTTGGGCACGCCAGTGAGTTGCCTTCTGACAGGAACTCCTAACGGCGGCTGAACAGCATTACGCGGTCGATTCGTGAAGTACGCATAGCAGTGGAAATTGGCCTCAATCTGGATCCTCCGCCAGCACCGATGCAACAAACACACGAACCGGCCTTACTGGCCCGTAATTCCGAGAGGACATGGCTAACTTGCTTCATCGCGGATCGCAGGTAAGCAAACGTCTGCAACCAGGGTGCGAGACCCTCTTCTTATAATCTCCTCCTCCAGCTGGGCAACTCAGTTGGGCAGACCGCCGCTGATTGCCGAGGCATCATTGACGACAAATCTACAAGACTGGCTGAAAGACACGGTGGCATCTTTCGAAGACCAGTCAATTGTAGCGCTGATAAAGTTGAGAAGGATTCTGGTAAGCGGGCGTGCCTTCTCGAACGTGATCATGGGGAGAAACCAACATGGTACGAGCGTATCACTAGACCGATAAAGCGGCGACCCACTTTGAAAGGATGTGCATTATCGCTGCGTTGGAAGCCTGGCGCCATGACTGGGTTGGAAAACATACGAAATGTAACTACGCCTCCCTTGTGGCTTCTAGATCGCTTGTGAGTTGTGATCTGAGAATCATGTCTTCTTCTCCGCTCTGTAGCTTCTTACCGACTAGGATACCTTGGTGACGTATACTACCATTACGCGCATATCGTTCTGAGGCTTCAATGGATGTCACTGCGTGATAATATACAGCGAACAAACGAAAAGGTAGCTTTGGAACATGCTGGTGAGCAATCACACGACAGCGCTAGCTCTTGCATGCATCTGATAACCTATTCTTACGGCGTTGGTGGTGTTTAATAGCATCTTTGCTGCAATATGCAGCCCTAGACCTACCGGATGATGTGTACCAGTACGGGCACAACAATTTCTTCACAATGCTCTCTCTTCCCGTTGCGGTGCTGATCCAGGTAAGTTCGTCTTTGCGGGATGACATCCGGCAGTCAATCTAACTCACAGCTTATCCCCTTCTTCGTAGAGTCAAGAAGCTCGCACGGCTCCTGGTGGCATGTACGAGACGTTCGCCCTTTCGATGACCACCATTCTGGAACGTTTGAGAAGGTCTATCAGTCAAACTCCACACCAGGAGGGTGCCAATCAATGGCATGCCTCTTTTTTCGAAAAGGCGTTGGAGAGAGTAGCCACCCCTGGCACGGTAGCCGACAGTGACATCTTGGAAATGCTGAACATCACCATACCCGGAGATCTCATGGACATGATTTCGTGGGACCTGCCAGGAGTTGTATCTGAGTGGACCGAGGAGGTTTGATTCGTTCAGGAAATCGCCCCAGTCAATTTCTCGTGCCCTCATCGCAGGTCACTGGGATCTTTGGGTTGCTGCGGTGCGCTACCTTGGCTTTGAGGTGTCCTGTAAATGGACTTTCCCCGTAATACCACGTGGTCGTTCGTTCACTCTTCTCAAAATCACCGCGTCGGACTGCCACCCGTTCCGTATACGGTAATTTGCGATGTCATATGCATGAACGATTCACACAGCTACAATTGAAACTAAAGAATGTCTTCCAGACACACGGCCCGCGTGGAAACCTAGAAACCCCAGATTTTATTGCTATATCACAAGTCACAAGTCATGAATCAGCACATGGTGTTACGCGACGCATAGATAAGACAGGACTTACACTTTCTGTCGCAGCAGCTTTTCGCTAGAGTCAATGCCTTCAAGACTGAGAGGCGCGAGACCCATGGTTTGCTTGCCTTGCTCCGTCACGATATCAGCGTCTCCACCGGTACCTTCGAAGAATTTCTCTCCTTCGCCTCCTGGAAAATCAGGGGGTGGAATCCGTTGCTGGTAATGGACTTGCTGGTCCTTGACATATCGAGCGTTCGCCTCGGTGAGGGGAACGGACGGTATATACAATACACTTGAAGGATTGGCCCCCTTGTGCTCGCTCTCGACGGCGTGTATGCCATCGCAGTGCCACCATACTTGGTCTCCGGGTTTCACTGCTTTCATAGGAAGCAAGGTTTCGTTTAGGCGAAGATGAGGGTGAGTCTCGTCGTTAAGCTCCTGACTGCGACCTATCGGAGAGCCGGGGAAATCTGGACTATCAAGATCTAGGCTCCAGTTAGATGGATCCAGGTAGGCTTGTTGCGGCAGAGAAGTTTTGAGCTGATTAGCTCTAAAGCACACCAAGCAATAGCATCAGCTCCGACTAAAGGAGTCTCCGGACCGAATCACATACTTGAAGAATGGACGCAGAATGATGTACGCCGTGCTCTCCTTGATAGCTGGGAACACTTTCAGCGTACCTTCGCCGGGTCCTGTATGGCTGAGACTGGTCCACCCTTGGAAGGCTCGGAAGATACCGCACTGCAAAGTTGGTATACAGATGAGGGAGTATCGTTCGCTTTGGGTAAAATCAGGACGAGGCAACTTACAGCACCGGGGCCATCGTATAAGTTTTGTTTTGCGGTGGGTCTGCCACCTACAATTGCCGAAATTCAGAATCGATACTCAAGCAGGCTTGCCCCAGCTGGACTCACCTATATCCCATGCGTCGTGCTCTGTCCAGCGGCCCTCCAGAATCGCTTTATACGAGCTACGATACTTCGGGTCTTCCCATCTTTCTACGCTTCCTCCGTCCACGTGAGCTCCAAGGGCAAACCTGCTGTCTCCAGGTCTACGGATACGGAGACGGTCGCAGTATGTCAGCGGCGTTGAGAATGAGACGTCGTCGGGGGCAGCCGAGTTCTTGTTGAATAGTGAGAGGAGGAATCGTTGGACTTTCAGCGATTCGGAGCACGACCGTGCCTCCAGCTGTGCTTTGGACCAACTAGAAGAAATCCAGGTCTGTCAGCGCCGATAATGCCGGAGAGGTGCAACGGCGACTTACTACAGCTCGAATACTGCCTTATCGTCCTCTGGGAATCCCTTGACCTGAGGATTCTGGGCGATGTACTGCTTGGTATCTTCGAGCCATTGCAGAGCCTGTAGACCCAGAAGTGAGCGTTGGCACTCGCCTGAAAGGAACCCATAGAAATGCTCACCTTTCGTTCCGGAACCACTCCCCGAACGACGAGGGTCCCGCTAGCCTTGATGTCTTCGAGCAGGGCAGGCGCAAGACCCTTGACCACATCCTTGTATTCGGCCTCAGGAATGATCTAGAAGGCGATGGGAAGTGAGCAACAGCAGCAGCCGAGTTGGGATGCCATGGATGCGACTCACAGACGTACCGGCATCGGCCATTTCCCGCGTTTTGACTGACAGATGTTGGCACAAGTCAGCCCAAGCTGCACGCGCTGCATCTTGCAATTTCGGTGAGTGAAATAGATCCCTGGGGACTCCGAATCAGTCAAGCAGCTTGAGTTGGTTCGAGTCGTACTCACCTCTTCAGGTCGATAAACCGGTCGGGCAGAGGTACAGCCTTTTCGCCAGACAGCGACGCAAAGACGGATGCGATCGTTCCTTCCGCCCGAGACTTCCTTGGAGACTGGCCACCTAGCAACCCGGGTTCGAGTTCAATGACTGTCTTTGCGACGGTTGCAGCTACTGAATACTGCCTTGTCGACCGAAGCCTCGGAGTGATTAAGAATAGAGGTGTCGTGAGTAGCGAGGTATTCATGTTGTTGAAGTCGGTCGCAAATATGAGTTTCAGAAGCAAAGTCAACGCTCATCATCTTGGTTCCTTCCCACAGGCATGAATTCAGCTATATTTATATTCTGGAGAACACTCTGTAAGATAGCCCAAGGCTTGCGATGAGTCTGTCCGACTGTTCCAATCTATACATCGAAGCAAGGCACAAGACACCGACCGCGAAGTTGTTTGTTCGGGGTTGTTGCCGTGACCGCCGACTGTCCACCGAGCTGCGAGCTGTACATCAGTGAGACAAAGGCAAAATAGCGAGTGACGGCCCGGGTGGAAGTGCCAAAAGGATGAGACCAATGTGAGGAGAAGCACTATTATAGAAGAAACAAATGCATCTTCATCCAAGTCTGCTTAGCTCAGTGGGAGAGCGACGGTCTGAAGTTCTACTCCTTAGAAACGGATACCGCAGGTCGGGTGTTCAATCCACCCAGCGGACATGTCTTTTTGACCTCAAACGAACATTTTTTGACCTTTCATTCAGGGTCGTCGGAGCAAAAACGCAGAACATGGTCCTCGACCCCATTTTTGCGGACAGGTACACTTTCAAACTCGACAACTCTGTCAATATCTGATTGCATATCTTGCCACTGCCATCGATGGACACTTGAGAGGAGTAGCAGTCATCTGAAGTCTAACTCGGCCATCTGGGACATATCGAACCCCGACACGACAGCTTGTGGAGCGCACTGACGGTTTTCTACTGAGGAGCCTTCCATCCTGTGACGCGCATGATTCCGTTGCACCACTCAAACAACGACGATACCTCCCTCCACTGCACAATTATAACGGAGCCATGGCTTCCACAAATCAGCGTATTTGAATAGTTTGCATAGAGCTGAGACTTGTATGAACAGTGGCAACTCGGTCGCATATGGGCATTTGCAACCTTTTCGCACCGTCCGCCGAAAAAGATCGATCAGATAACACATGCATAAATACTTGGGAAGGGAGAAACCACCCGCTTCTATACCCTGCCTGACCTTGACCACAACATCTCTCTCGCTATCACGGCTATCTACACGCTTGGCCAACTTGTGGGCACCGCGGAAGCCCTTCCTAGCGCTCCTTTGCGCTTTTACCTTTCTTCCAAGCAAAAACACGGAACGCCTCGCGGGTGCGTCCCAATCCTCCCTGCCTAGTGAACCAATGACCACACTCGCAAAACCCGACTGACGCTGCTGGGAGATCGAACACTCACCGATTGTCTCTATCTGGTCGGTTGATTTCACCATTGCTATCCCCGGCTTTGTATCGCGGCCTCTTCAGCTCTGCTACATCCTCACCACTCACCACATCGAAAGAATGTCCACCATGATCCACCGAGTCAACCTCGCACCCGCCGTTCGATCCGCCGCAACTGGTGTTCCCCGGTCAGCCGTCAACTTTGCCGTCAAGGGTGTTCACGGAGGTGTTGGATCGGGTCACTCTCCCGATGAGCATGGAGCACACGGTCCCCGAAAGGATGTTACCCCGTCGTGGGCTGGTTCTCGAGGTGCGTTGAAGCAGTCTCTCAATGTTAATAGTGAGTATGAGAGTGCCAAGTCGGAGAGGCGCGAAGAAGCAACAGCGCTGTGGTTAGACATCATGCACGGACACCAAAGCACTTGGCAGGATCAGGGCGAATAGACACGAGGACACACCGGGTGGATTGCCGTGCGAAGCTGCCGGAGAGGAAAGACTGCGCGGGTGTTGATTATCACCGTCAGTCGAGGTCATCGAAAAGCCTCAGGGGTGAGGGGTTTTTGTCCGTCAACCGAGGTTGTTGAAGTCTGGGAGCGTGGTCATACGAAGAGACACCGAGCGGTCACCTAATTGACAGGGCTGCGATCAACCGGTTTGGCATCACAAAGAGAATTTAATGCTTACACGAATTTCCTCGCGGTAGCTCGAGCCACCGGTATCCTGCAACACCGAACATTCTCTACATCCCGAGCTGTTGAACGGGCCACCACCGACATCCCAGATTTCACTCCTTATATGGCCCAGAACCCCAATACCAACCGAACCCTGTCATACTTCATGGTCGGCTCAATGGGTCTCCTCGCCGCTTCCGGTGCCAAGTCTACCGTTTCCGACATTCTTTCCAACATGGCCGCCTCCGCCGATGTGTTGGCTTTAGCCAAGGTCGAGGTTGAAATGAGCGCTATTCCCGAGGGAAAGAACTTGATCGTCAAGTGGCGAGGAAAGCCGGTTTTCATTCGACACCGAACTGCGGATGAGATTGACGAGGCCAACAAGGTTGATGTCAAGAGTTTGCGGGATCCTCAGGCTGATGATGACCGAGTCAAGAGGCCAGAGTGGTTGGTCATGTTGGGTGTAAGTCCGGGTTGATACATTTCGTCTTGTGACACACCTGTATTGACTTGTTGTGCTACCTCTCAGGTCTGCACACATTTGGGTTGTGTTCCTATCGGTGAAGCTGGTGATTACGGAGGTTGGTTCTGCCCTTGTCACGGTTCCCACTACGATATCTCTGGTAGAATAAGAAAGGGTCCTGCTCCTGTAAGCACATCGCCTGCCATCGTTTCTGGTGCCCTGCTCATTATCTTCTCGTGGCGTCTCACAGCTCAACCTTGAAATCCCTGCATACGACTTCAGCGAGGACGAGAAGATCATTGTTGGTTAAGCAACTCTGCCCTTTATAAAGGAAAAGGAAAGAGTTGTCAATCTGATCATGGTTGAGCATTCGCTTTCCTTGGTTGTAAAATCATTAACGAGCTGGATGAGATTAGAGACACATATACCGAGCAGGAGGTGCGAGCAATGCTCGCAGTGGATGCAATTCCAGCAAGAAATCCTGTGCTAAGGAGACACGCTCTCCGGGCATACTCTTTGGCTCTACAAAATCGCGACGCTGACGTCGGCAAGCAACGAAGTAGTGTCCATCTACCTCTGATTCAATCGACACGTTTCATAAGAAAGATGAGGTCAAGCCAAGGCTGCGCGACACCGCTAGTGAGCTCGATATTCTCAAGATACCGTGTGCATACAATTTAGACATCAGATGGCAGAATCGATGCAGCAGAATGACTGGCAGGCATAAATTGCAACTGACCGGAACATGAATTGAGTTAGGCAATATTATTGGACTTTTGGTACTGCGTGCATACAAAGAATGCCTGCATTAGGTCGAAGCGGTATTGAGCATTGCAGCGACAAGAAGTCGTCTCGATTGCAAAGCTATTGTACTCTATTGGAACAGCTATTGAGCTAGCTATTGGAACCTTTCGGCGACGGCGTTGCCCCGGTGCTATATCAGGATCGGAATAGTGTCGGAAGTGTATCCCTTACATCGGTACAATTGGTTGTTGGGCAAACATCACGCACAATAACCCCGCTTCGTGCTTTCGTCGTTTGGATCTGGTTGTCCATCGAACCTCACGCAAGACATGTAATCTACCGCATACCCGCCATCTCATCCCACATCGCTCCTCGTCTTGACGTTATAAAGCCCTCTCCACTCAATCGAACAGGTTGCCCGGCGGCAGGTTGTCCTTGACGTTTTCCGGTAAACGCAACATGTCTCCCTCGTACCCTCAAATCGTCGTTACTGGTGATTCCATCTCGCAGCAGGCATTCAAGATTGGCGGATATGGTGCTGCACTCGTAGATGCGGTGAGTCACGAGCTGGTCTGTACCTTTGCTTGTGGTGTGTGCTGAATAACTACTTTATCAGTACCAAGGCAAAGCCGATGTCATTAATCGCGGGATGGGGGGATAGTAGGTGACATACAGCCCGGACTCACGGCTCGTTTTACTCACTTGGACCGTCTTGGATTGTCTAGCAATTCGAACCAATTGCTGAAGAAGCTGAAAGACGACTTCCAGTGGCCGAACGGCGATGTCAAGATTGCCGTTATACATATAGGCACCAACGATGCGTGAGTAGCTCTTGTCAGACTTCAAGAAAGATGTACTAATCAATGCATGCTCAGCACCACCCACGGGATCCAGCATGTAGGTTGTCGAAGAGATCGTTGTTGGCCAGTGGACTGTGAAGCTGATCTCGTTCGTCCTGCATAGGTTCCCGTAGAGGACTTTACCCAAAACGTCAAGGCCATCTTGAAATTCTTGAAAGAAACCCAGCCTGAAGCCAAAGTCATTCTGATTACTCCTTCCACAGTCGATATGGACGCATGGGCCGCATTAGGTCTCGAGATGGGAATGCCGAGCGAGATGGTGTACAACCGTTCCCCCGAAGCTGCCAAACGGATTCGAGATGCTGTTCTAGCCGTGGCGGAAGAGGCGGATGCGAGTGTCGTGGATGCATGGAAATTACATGATGATGCTGTCAAGAATGGCGAGTTGAAGACTAGCGAGCTCTTCTCGGATGGACTGCATTACAGCGAAAGAGGTTATGCTGTGAGTACCACTTTGCTTTCCCCGCTCGACCACTTGGGCTTCGCACCACGGGAATCGTATATTGAATAATGATTCCCTTTGATGCCCAGTATATTAACAAGGCACTTTTGCAACTCATCAACACGAGCTACCCGTCCCTGTCGCCGGAAAGCATGCCAGAAGGGTTCACCATGTTTGCGCTCTACGGGAACGAGAATAACCCAGAGGCACAGAGAATGGTCAAGGTCTTTACCGAGAAGATGGAAGCTATCAAGCAAGCTGCCTTGGGAAACACAAAGTAGCAGGCTAGCCAAGGTTTTGTGCAGATCGTCGTATAATCCGAGTTGTAGTACGAAAGGGATGCTAATCATCGAAAGGCCTGTAAAGCTGGAAGCCACCACGCTGTCGCATAGGTGTTCTAGGGTCTATGGCAGAATGCGCTGGCGATTGGAGTGCAAATCAGCCTCGGCTCGTGACGTGGGTATCGTAGAACTGATCGCTGGTGCAAGCAACCTTGCCAGCTCAGCTCAGCTCAGCTTCGAGGAGATAGGAGAAGCCTAATAAAGTTTCTATACCCCTTGCAGGTGGGCATACAAAGGAAGTTCACGGATCTTCACGGTGTCTGCTTTCTGCTGGTAACCGACTCGGAATTCGACCCGCGCCGTTCCAACCGATCTTCCATGCCTGTTCCCTACTGTCTCAATTTATCAGTCTATTCACCCAATATGTTTTCCATCAACGGCTTGGACAACGTTCAGAGCTTCACCGCTAAAGATTTCACTACCAGCAGTACCCGGAGCAACAAATTATGACGACCTCTGACACGACAGGACATGCCGTTGGCTGGCGCTTCTCACCTTGGAAAGGGGTCATGCAGCATCCTTGTTGGATATAACAAACGCCTAGAGAAGAAAGGTGAGGGGGAAAGGGAACTGGTTGAGGATGATGTCTCCTCTCCATCCGACTATTCATAGCGTCCACCCGAATTTCCTCAATTGATGCGCGCATACCACAAAGACGTAAGTGCTTCACCTATCTACAGAAATGGAAATCGTGCTCAACTTACCTTATATACCTTTTATCCCGCTCAGTCAGG